TTAGCTCTCTATCGAATACAATCTCTTGTTACCTAGGCCTGTCCGTTTGTGCTTCCGAGCTTAAGACTACCCCACGGGGTTGAGCCCCTTACAATGGGTTTAGTTAAAGCGGCAATAAAAAATATTTTAAGCGAGGTGGAAACGCCTCTAAAAGCAGCGGCCAATGACTTCCTAAAATGAATGCATTCCCACTGCTATATAGATAGCCTCCGCCAATAACTAATAATTAATCTGGTCTAGCGCGGGTAGCCAAGAGCTCTTTGAAAGCTCTTGGCTACCTACGCCAGACCAAATAGAGTTATATTTATGACGAAGTAACTACCTATCTCATGTGATGGTTTAGCTAACTAATAAATGGTGCGTACACTCATTGACCTCCCTCTATTTCTAGCGTTGTTCAGCCTAAACGTATCACCATGAAAATTAAGCCTATAAGCCTATAGAATAATTCATCTTAAACCAGGATTCTCTTGGAGAATCGTCGCGCTGCTTCTGGCGCTTTGCTTCTGCCTCCTCCCGTTCCTGTTTCTCCTAATTCGTCCTCTTATTCTTAAAATGTCTGCTAATACCGATAAATTTAAAGAGTTCTAGAGTGTTAGACGGAGGAGGTAGCGGGCATACGATAGATCGAGGGACAACCATTTTCAGTAGATGTTGATTGATAAACGTGACGGAAATATTCTCGTCACTACCTTCCACACCAATATCGACACTAGGCTAGCCAGCGTATTCGGGTGCTTTGAAAACTTCTAGGCTGGGTGTGGTATTTGGATCGATATAGATATGTCCCACGGTCTGCTTGTTGGTCTATTTACCAAGTTCATCCGGCCAGTAGAACTTAATGTATAATGTCTAATGGTCATATTCTATGTCCTAACACCGGGTAAAATTAGATGAGTATATATTGAAATTAGCTAGCTTAAGGGTTAGCCTTTGGTCCTGTATGCCTCGCGTGTTATTCTGTTTAAGCTTGACCTATTCTCTCTCTACTTCATCTTCCCGAGCTTTATGATACTCAATCGCACGCTCGTGATCTTTGCGAAGTCTAACAAGTTACCTTTTCCGCTCTTCTCGCATCTCCTTATACTCTAGGTACCATTCCGCATCAGAACTAGCGTACACAGAATCCTCATCCATAAAATCGTGTTCGTCAAGATCGCATTCGCATTCTGAAGTATCCGAGGCACAGTGGCATGCACCACTACTCTCCAATTCCAGTTCTGAAATATCTTCATCAAAATCCTCTAGATATGGTCCGTAACTAGTCCGGCGCCCCTCGCTTTCGATCTCTCTAACAGCCACGACGCGGTAGACGCGTTCATACCAGAGAGGCAGCTTCTTCCGCAGCAGAGCGTTTACTATTAGGTAGAATTGAGGCATTTTAAACTCTTTAGATCTCTTACGTGCTCTAGAAGGCAACTATAGATAGGTTCGGAGTTAACGTGTTTGCAAAAGTTGGCAAAGTTAATATTGAGGTCTGAGGTTAGATTAGTTAGCACACTAAATTTGTTTCGGATCCATGATTCAGGAGCGGCCAAGCCGCCACCATGTGACCCAGTCTGAGCTGCCTACTCCCTTTGCGCAAGATCCTGCACGGACAGGAACAACAAAACTTCGCAGGAAGTACGTACTTCTAATAATTAAAGCATAGATATATACCCACTTCGCCCTAAGACTTTAGCAAATAATCTAGAATCTTGTTAGTTTTTGAATACATTATGGCGTCTCACATTTATTATTTAGTTGTTGCACTTTCGTGGTTGTAAGAACCCTTCAACTCCGTTTCCAAGACAATACAATCAGCCGCGTCGAGTGTCTTGCATTAGACCTCGCCCTCAATTGTTGCCGTAAAGACAATACGCATGAAAGGCTGGATCGAGCAGCTTTCTAAGCCAGCTTCAGCCCGGACGAACGATCTATCCCCACCGTTGCGCCTAACAACTACCTATCGCTGAAGCGGAAGCGTGTGACGTCTGCGCCCATAACCTATACAATGTCGGCACGCACCACCAGTCCCAAGCGTCCGAGGCGCGATACTGACACCGAAGTCCTGCCTACCCACAGCGTATCCGCGGCCGGAGCGGCTCCAAATACGAGCGCGCTCATGCTTAATAAGAGGAATATCTTTAGTCCGCCTAGCAGCTAAGCCGGCACTAGAAGCCCTTATTGAGCGAATAGCCCGTCCAGCGACAACATTGCTGTACGGGCTTCTACATCTCCTCCAATAACGGAACCGAGTTTAGGGCTGAAGACACCGCCGCCGCTAAGAGTGAGGAATGTTATGGAGTAACTAGAAGATAGGTTAGACAGCGGTTAGACACCAGGGTGGCTGTAGGAGCTAATCGAGGAAGACTAAGACTTTAGATACTAAAGGATTAAGCTATATGCTTAGGGCTAGAGTATAGCGCGTAGCCTCTTGTATCTAGACGTTGGCGGCAATAAGCGTGAAAGACTAGTATATATGCTAGGTAAGGTGAAAAAGATCTAGCTAAATGCACGGGTGTGCTGGTCAAGGGGCCGCGACGAGAACGTGTGGTGCATAGATGTGATCTAGCCGCTGTTGAAACTCGCGATGAGCCTTAAAGGGGAGAAGAATTTCTGGCTTTAGAGCATGTAAGTAACCCTTTGCTTAATTATTAGCACTTAATGCTGATCTCCGAGCAGACAGTCCTAGGCAATCGCTACTAAATTCCTTTCCTCCGTCCCTAACGCGTCTAGAAAACCTCGCTCCCTCGATCGCAAAGCCGACTTCACACTCCCCTTCTCTCACATACTATCTCTAGGCTTCGAAGACCTATACGATCGCCTAAGAACCGCGGGCAACCCCATCGTAAGTCACACGGCTAACGTATTTACGAAGACGACCGCCCTCTTCTCCTATATAAAGGTTAAGCCTGCCAGTAGCGATCACACGGAAGCTAAATACTAACTTAGCGTATAGATAGCAGCAAGTCTACGGAACAAGATGCAGCTTACATAGCGCGTAGGACTAGTAGATAAGAGCAGCCTAGTGAGAGCATGGTGCCGCTCTTGCCCCTATGGCGCGGCCTTTAGACGAGTATATATGCACTAGAGCTTCGTAAGAAAGAAATTAAATAATTACTCACTTAATAACCCTAGAAAGACGTCCCTAGATTTGTTAATTTATCTAATAGTTCAAGCAGTATAGATAATTAGACCTTCACTTCATAGTAATAGCGAGCTTGCTCTGCCCTATTACAATAGTGTTTTGGGTCGATAAGACTCCTAGTCTCAGTTACGATGTCATAGGTCCAGGTTTAGGGTACTTAAATCCTAAAGCTGCCTAACTTTATTTTTATCAAAGGGACACTTTAAACCCTAGCCGAAATAGACAAGATGCCAGATAGAATGGACCGCTCGCTGCTATTCACGTGCTAAACAAAATCCTCGCCGGAGCAGCCGTAGCCTAGCTTCAGCTTAATAAGGCTAAGAATAGAGGTCGTTTTTCTAGCAACTTATATAATGCTATTGTCGCTTTGCTAAACTAAGTTAACCTACTTTGCTACTACTGCTACGTTAACTACGCAAACCCAGATACCTAGCCTAATATTAAGAGCGCCGAAAATGGTTAGAATAGAAGCTTAGGTAGAAGAAGCCTGTCTATTTGTCTATTTTATAGTAAGTGAGACACCGGTGGATATACTTCGCTTTCTTTGTTACTAGCGCATATCTATAAGCGCAGCTAATATGAGTGCCCTACATAGCTATTCTAGTTTGTGGAGGCCTAGCTTGCTTAAGCTTTTGAACACCGCCTTAGAAGGCTAACGGAAAAGGCTAACCTATCTCCAACTATTAGAGATATTACGATATCGAACGCTTCTATTCCCCTATAATCTATAGCCACGCATCTTGGTTCGTCTAGTGAATACTAAAGTTGCATAAAGTTTATATTGTAGTAGGAGTTAGGCTTAAGATTTTCTTTCGAAGGTTGTTTATAGACTAGTCAAAACTTCTCTTTTAATTCTTATTAGAACTATTCTTAGAAGCTATAGCCCAACACATCGCCTTATGCTCTTTATAATAGGCGACCTAGCACGTCCGCCCGCAGTACATGACCTTATTGCACCTTCCGCACTGCATCAACTGCATAGGAACGTTTCCGCAATTCGCGTATTGGGCCAGTGCCGACAGCAGGCCCCTCCCATTTCCACTTCCGCTCTCTACCGCCGCTAACAAATCCTTAGCTATCTTTCTCGTCAACCTTAACACCCGCTGTTCACCTAAGCTGACGTGCGCCGCCGACCATGCGTTCCCTCCTAGGGAATAGAACCCCTCTGCGAGTTGCTCTTCCAGCTTTTCGAGTTAAGTTCCGAAACCGTCGAGAAGACTAGAGATTAATTCTACTAGAAACTATAGGATCTCTACTTCGTTTAAATCGCTAATTTTCTTAACTATAGTATCGCTTTGATGAGCCCCTATGATAGCAATATCCGATTCGTGCAGCCGTTAAATACGTAGGTATCGAAGGACGCTTCTTAGTAGCGGATTAGTGAGAGTAAGAGAAATAGTAGAGGTCGAATCGAGCCTAGCTGATAACTAGAGTTTGTGCTTTTACTTAAAAAATGGCGCTATAGGATGCGTCATAAGAACGAGATTATAGCTATTATTAGGATTACTAGGCACGATAAACCTATAGAGACGTAAAAGGCGATTGTTTAGAATAGGCCTATAATTGATAAAAACCTAGAAGAATACCTCTAGGTAAGCATACTAATTATATAGTAGTATTAGAAAATAAGATAGACATACCTAATCTCCCGATTCGTAGTTCTTCCTGGCAAGAATAGAGAGATTTCTAGACAGGGCATCGTAGGCGTGACACTGCTTAACCTCAGATGAGTGGTTCAACATGTCCGCGAAGGGGGCCAAAAGTCAAATTAAATCTCTATTAGGGAGCTGAAAATCTATCGCACGACTCTATACGGTGTAGAGAGCCTACTTATACTAAAAGATAGGAAGTAAGTATTAGTAACTAATTCATAGCATTTTTCGTGTGTTGTAATACCTATATCTTTGATAGTGAATTTGTTAGGTGGAAACAGTTTTTAATGTCGTCTAAATAGTCGCGCCACTAGTCCCCTATAATCGTCCTTAATCTAGCGATCTAGCTGCTTCGTGGTAGTGTAGAGCGAAGTTCCCGCGCAAACTTCTAGCTTAGTCTTAGTAAAGAAGATACTTAAAGTGTAGCTTATAAGTAGCGCCGCTATATAGCTTCGCAGGCCATCGTATCCCGACCCGCGCGATCTAATAAAGAGAATATACGTAACTAGGGTGTCATCGACAGACAAAGACGGCCGCGTAGAGCGAAGGGCCGGCCCAAGAAGAGGGTCAGCATATGCGTGTTTAACTGTCCAGAGAACGCTATATGGAATGGTGAGAATCTTTTCGCCTTCCTCGAATCGCCGCAGCGTTTTGACACCGCGGCCAGTATCCAAGAAGTCGGCAAGCTCGAGGCCGTTTAAGCCTAACGCTCTAGATTGTTTTAGCTAGTTTTCTATAGGATCGGACGAGAAAGTGAGTGTGTGCGTGAGGAGGCGAGGAAATTACTGTCCTGTGGCGGGGGGCTTTGTTACGTCGTGTGACGCAGGCCAAGGCATAATCATAGGAGCCTAGGCACTCCTACCTAATTAAAAATAATCTATGTCCCCATTACCTAAGCACCCGACCAAATAATAGCACTGCTCTATTATAACAAATAATTACAGTCACACTCTAAAAGTCTATGCCGCTAAGCGCTCGGGCCACCATCGCCACTTCTAAAGCCGGTTTAAAGTTGCAATATCTTAACCAAGACACGATAAAATTTAACTATTAAGTATTATTTAGTATTTAGTATATCTACTAGTTAATTACTTTTAAAATTATTTTATATATAATTAAGAATTAAAGGCGGCATTTTCCTTTTAATATATTAAGATTTGCTAACTTATCTAAAAGTGTCCTATTTTTATTAGGTGGGGATAGAGGAACAACGTGTATTAGTAATCTCGGGTAGCGGCACACACAGGAATATACAATCTGCTTTCTAGCATTAAGTTCATTATTTACACCTAAGTACGACACCGTGCACAACCACGCCGTGATTTCATTATCTGTCGGTTCACCACCTAATTTTTTTTACTAGTGTCCAGTCCTAATAAGAGGATATAATCTGTTCCCTTTTCTAAATTACCTCTCCTTTATTAGCTATTTTATAAATACTATCGCACCCTTTAGCTTCGTAAATTAGTCTATAGGTAAACTATCCCCCACACTAATATAGCAAAACTTTTGTTTTGAATTAGAATTAAACCTAAGTGGGTTGTTGCGTTACGCCCGCAGTAACCATGGGACAGATCACTAGCTGCTAGAAACCCACCTCCGCCATAATATCACCATGTCGCTCTCGGACATCCTTTCTATATTGAATATCCTCATTAAGCTGGGGATAGAGATTAAGACTCGATTTAACTCTCTTAACTAAGCTACCGACGACCTTCTGCTTCTCACCGCTAATCTTCGAGTTCTGTTAAAGGTGTTTAAGGAGCTAGAGAACGAGGATATTATTAAGACCTATTCGTTAGAGATTGTGGTTATACTAGATATCTTATAAGGTATTGCATAGTTATACACAAGCTGTATAAAGGCTCTAGGTATTGAACTTACTAGAGCGATAGCTATGACTTAGAAGATAGGGATAAATAGTAAAAAAATTACTAAGCGGGCGTGGACTTTTAGTAGGATCCCTAACATTCTCGCTAAAATTCGGCATAAGGCTAAATAACTTTATAATATGTCTAGTACATTGTCTATTTTATTTCTCTCTAACGTCTAGAAGCATTAGAGAAAGTCGAATAGGAAGGAAACTCCTAAATTCTCTATCGCAAAAAACACTACTCTGCACAAGAATCTACTGGACCTTGACTTCAGGATAGATTTCGCTAGCATCGACCGAATAGTAGGAGACCTTATAAATAAATGCAAACACCTTTAGCGATAGCTTAAGGAGGCTACTCTATTTCCTAACATATTAGTTATTTAAAGTTATTAAGCGCAGAACCTAGAAGGAGCATTGTTTTAGAAGGATCGATTCTAGAAAGATAAACTCAACGCCTTGGCTCTTCGCTATAAGGTAATAATTACGCTTAAAGCATCCTAAACCCTTTTCTTCTATTCTCTATGTCGCTATAATATACTAATATGTCGCTTTCTTAATAGACGTTTTATGTTTCTTAGGCACGCTTCGTACACGAGGTAGAATCGTCTTTCCTTCTTAAAATAATACTAACTAGGATTTTTAAAATAGGAAACATTAACCATATTCGTCTATAAGGGTCTCGTTACTCTATTAACTAAAACGGCATACGTCGTCTTTCTATAATCTAGCCTCTCTAGCTCCCGGCTCTTTAATCCACTCTTGATCCGCTGTATAAGGGCTACGTTAAACCTTAGGACTATTTTAAATTAATTTATAACACCTCCTTATCTAATATACTAAGAAGTCTGGCCCTTAAAAGCGCAGGCTATGGTACGCTTGTTAAATGTGAAAGAGCGTCTGGCGATCTTACCTTACCGGCGGAAATCGAGTCTCTATCTGCTTACATTAGGTGGATATCTGCTCAAATTATGGCCGTTCTAATACCTAATGAACTTGGAATTGTTACTAGACAAGAGGTTATGGAATTAAGCAGCGATACCCTCTTTAGTTACTTTAATAAACCTGCTAGAGACGTTCACGTTTACGTTCGTTATCTAGAAACTAGCCAAATCGAGCGCAAGAGTCTCTTAAAGCAAGTCTGTCCGATTAGAGGCATTTCTGTTAGTGCTGCGTTATCTATCTGGCATGAGCTAGACTTGGGCGATTATGCCTAGAGCAGCGAGCTTTATATTACTAAGTTTAAGGCATGTTACGGTAGAGAGTATATTATTGCGGCATATAGCGGTTCAACTTCTGTCCTATTCTCTACGAGGCCTCTTAAGACTTTATTCAACAAAATATTACACGGCAATAATAACTCCTTAAGTTCTGCCATACTAGAGTTTAACTATACACTTCTAGGGTCGTCGAAGGTATTCATCTAACCACTAAAAGTTAGCGAGAAGGTTCAGGTATGTACCTCCCTAGAACACCGCGTAGTGTATCTTTTAAGATGCGATTCTTATTCTGTAAATGGCTAGATCGAGTATAATAGGTTCTAGTACGATTCAAAAGTTACGGTAGTGGACGGTAACGAGATTAAGTTTATTAATTAGGACGATTTACTAAAAAAAAACGAAACTAATATCACATAAGCTCAGGATAGTAATAAAGTAGATAAGAAAGATGATAGTAACCTGTTCTTTCCCGAGGAGCAGTTGACGCAACTTGGGAAGGGCATGCGGCGACTCTAGCGACCATGGCGGAGAAACATTATTAGGTATAACGTTCGACCTTATCGTTGCTTCTATGTCAGCGACACTGTTAAGGCACCTGTTATGTACCTAGATTTCTGATACCATTATTATGTTACTGATAATTTATAACTCTACCTTCCTGCTTAAATCGTTGACGTCTAAGGTGACTAGTATATAATCGAATTTAGTCTAGCGCTCTCAGTTTATGGCTGGTAGCTAGGGAGAATGCTAAAGGGCAAGTAAATATACCTAGTGCCGGGGTTAGGCGTTAAGGTAGAAAATCCCTTCGACTTCTATCGCGTGACGTTAGGTATGGATCGGGTACGTCCTTTCATTGTGGGACCACGACTAGTTCTAGGTGTTTAGTCCGCGAAGCCATCTAGGTAGAGTTTATTTTAGGGCCTTTATCTCTGCGAACTTGAGGATCTTTTTAAGGAAAGTCTTTAGAATAATGACCGCGATAATAAGCGAGCGGATAGTTAGAGAGGTTAGAGCCTATCCGCGAATAAGGAATAGCTGTTATCGTATACTCTTAGCAGGTTATAGAAGCACCTTTAAAGCAGCGGCAATCTAGACAATAGTGATATCCTTTAGAGTGTACAGTGCTATAGCGTTGCTTACTTCGCTTGCTACTACCTCACGGATTATACTAAGCCGTTTAGGGGCGGGCTGGTGTTTAGTAAGCGGAACGATAGTAGACGGCTCGCTTAAGGCATAATAACTATATATGCTGTGATAGCGCGCGAGACTCGCGTACCCTTCGGCATGCCTAACGGTGGAGAATAGAGCAGTGACGCTAAGAGACTCAACAGAAGCACATCAAAGCAACCTAAATATCCTTTGCTAAATATATCCTTCTCTAAGAACATAATTAGTTTTAGCCTAAATAAATAACGAAACTAAATCTTACTAATTAACTAAGTTAGATAAGCCTAGGGCGGCGAAAGGATGAGCTACGAAGATCTTAAAAAGGCAAAAGCGGAGCGTGCTGCGAAAAATACTGTAAAAGAAGCTATAAAGGCTTTAGAAGCGGTTAAGAAGGCTCTAATAGAGGCTAATAACGCTAAGAAAGAGGCTAAAAGGGTTGTAGACGTAGGTAGAGGAAGCTATTACAGGCAAGAGTACACGTGGCTAGAAGCGTAAACGTCCTATAGCAGTAGATGCGCCAGAGCCAAAGGCCATGGTGCCGCGAGGGATCGAGGCGTTGAAGCCGGTGGAGTGAGGAACGGGTTGCGCCAGTGACGCGAATGATATGAGATCATAGTACGGGCGCTGTAGAACGGGATTTATATACTAGTATACGATAAAGTAATAGAGTGAGTTACACCCTTTATAGAAAGTTCAAGCTAGTAGAACTCTAAGGTAGTGAAATCGTAAGTTAGTTTAAATCTTTAAGTATAGAAGAATAATAGTTAAACAATTATCTTTCGCTAGACTGTTTATATTTACTTAAACTCGATATTATTAATTTGGACTCCCTAGGACATTTCCTTCGTCTTTAGAGCGGTCTCTAGATTTCTGAATCTGCAGCGGTTGCCGTACGTTCTTTTATTCCAAATCTAGTCCTTGCTCCGCCTTCTTATCTAGTTTTAAATTAATCTAAGCTAAAATAATATTACACACCTCCGCCACTACCTCTAAGAGTAAGAAAATAGTAATAATTTAACTAAACGTCTACCTTTTCTCGTCCTCGCTTAGATTATTATAGGAAATAGTAAGCTTAAGCATTAGGATTATGTAAAGGTTAATTAGCGTCTAGGCGAATATATATCTAATATTGTGCTGGCTAGGCATCTACTTCTACGTATTGTTGATAGGTAATTAGCTATCTTTAATAGTGATTTAGCTAAAAATGTTCTTCGCCATCTTGATATCCGCTTTCTCCACTAGTCAGCTCTTTGTAACGGCGCAGGCAAGGCTACTCGGATCAGTATCGGCAGTAGTGTCACTCAGAGGCATATGGGAGTGCGTGGGACATCAAAAGAGCCTTG